TTCTCTACATGTTCAAACATGATTCAAAACTAGAGATGGTAACTTGAAAGCATGGGAAATCGGGTAGAATAAAAAATGTATGTAAATTCCACCTGCATTTCAACTATAACTTAATTAAAAATATAGAAAGTACCGCCATTTTCCCAAATTTTCTTCATTTTCTTTGCTTTGCGGTCTTCTGCTTTGTCATTTTCCATTTTCCTGTTTACCTGAAAAACATTTTACCTGCCTAGCTCGTCTTACCAAAATATTTTTAATGGAGTGGGCGGAGTTTCTCTTACTCTTCATGGATTCTGAATATAACATTAAAACACCCTATATACATACATACATAGCTAGTATACGTACAATTATAATGGTGTATTGTATATAATATTTGTATTGCAAATTTTGTATGGGTACCAGCATTTAAAAAAAAAAATAAAAGTACCCCCGAAAATACTCAGCTGAAAAGTGCGTGCGCCTCGTCTCTCCATTCTGCTCCCCCATCTACACCCACATCCATTATCCTTGTGGTTGCTGCCACAAAGGACAAATGAAATTTCAGCACGGATCTGCCGTCTCGCTCACTTTCACTTGGCGCCACTGAGAGAAAGGTCCACACAAAAGGAGGATACCGGCTTTAGAAGGATACGTGTCTAGAAGGGAGGGAAGAAACCAGGATATGGGGAAAATGGGGAGGCGCAACAAACAAATCCCCTATTTACATATATTTCTGAATATATGTAGCTCCACCCTTAAAAACAAGGATATTGTGTAGAAAAATGTACACAAAAAAAGGATACAAATTTTTAAAAAGTGTTTTTTTTTTGAATTTTATATCCAATATACCAACTGGAATTTGAATCCTTTAAATACCCGGAATTAACAAGCTGAAACCTCTATATATATATTTTAAAGAATTGTATCTCAGAGATCTAATAGACCTTTTAATATAATATCTCTAGTTACTTAAGTTCAGGATTTACAAAAAGAAGATGAAACCCTTTCTGATAATCTTGCTTTTTAAGTTTCTCACAAATAACAGAAATACTTTTAAAAGTTTTCTAACCATCCAGAACTCCAACTACAATTCTCATTATGTTATGTCCTTCAAAGTGGACTCCAGTGGAGAATATCCCTTTCGCAAATTGAAAATATATATGTCTATAGGGCGAATGCTGACTTCATTTCGCTTATGTAAGCAGTGAATCAGACCCACATTGAGAGACCAGAGTCCTGGAGACTCCTCTTCTTCTTCTTATTTTTATGATCCTGCGGCAAGTGGCGAGACAAAATGGAGTTTGAGTTATTTTTGGCAACAAAACGAAATTACGACACCCTCTCCGAAGGGCGAAAATACACAACTCTCTCCCCTTTTTTGTCTCTTTTTATGACTTTATATATGTATTTGGATGTGTATATGTATATGTGGATTTACGGTATGTATTATATTTACCGTTATATACTTTATAAACTCCTTCTGGTTTGAGGTTGCCATGGCAGTTGAATTTCAAACCCTATTTTGGGTTTCAAAGTTGCTTCCGATTGGATAAATTCGGGAGTATGAGTAATTACAAATAATGCTGCTTTTTGCTGCAGGGGCGATTTCGCAGGAGGGAGGTGTGAGTGTGGGTGCGGAGGAGTACGGGTGGGTGTCGAACACATCTGCCCGACACACCCTCGGGGACTCGAGGGAAGAACAAAATACAGAAAAACAGAAGGAGAGGCCTGAACAAATGGCTAGAATAGATGGGAGCGTGGGAGGTTGTAGAAGATTCCAGTCTATCCAGCCCATGTGAGTATCTTGTGTGGATGCTCTGGCTTTTTCACCGCAAAGTTCCTTCGAGGAACACGCTTTCACACCATGGCCTGGTAACTCAAACAGGAAGCCAAGAAACACGCATAAAGTTTTTCAAAAAACGCCTCAAGTCAGTACTTGTTTGCTAGAAGATGGTCATAAGAAAGTTTTAAGAAGTCATTTTCAAGAATATTAGGACTAAAATGGTTAGAAATCATACAATTTATAATTTTTTTTTAAGATGTTAGAAAAATTTTTCAGATATCATACGAAAATTCATACGAAAGATATCATACGAAAAAAAAACACTTTTCTTTAACCTAAAAAGCCTTAAATAGTAAATATTTAACTTTATAATTCAAGTTTTATAAATTTATTTTCAAGAATCTTTGGGCTAAAATGTTAAGAATTCATATAATTTTAACGAATTTTTATAATATTATAGGGTCAAAATCGTTAAAAAAGCACTTTTCCTTAACTCAACAAGCTTTAAAAAGCTATCCAATTTTAGAATTCAAGTTTTAGGAACAAATTTTCAAGAATATTTGGGCTAAAAAGGTTAGAAATCATGTAATTTTAAAATTAATTATAATATTTTATGAATGATTTTAGAAAATATAATACCAAAATTGTTACAAAAGCACTTTTTTTAAAGCACTTCATAAGCCTTAAAAAGTCTCCAAGTTTATTGCAACCTGGCAACCCTTTCTGTCCTGTGCCTGTCCTGTCCTGAGGGATCCCAGCGTTGCCATTAATTATGCAAATTTAACTTGATGCGTGTCGCCGAAGAATTATGAGTTTAGCTTTGCCCCGAGGCCTCAGACTCTGTCTCCTTCGCTCGCCACCTCTCTTTCTTGCCACAATTCTCCGCGCTGCACACATGCCATGCTAAGGTCTTCTGCTTCCTCTTCTGCTTTCTTATTATTATTATTTTTTTTTGTTATATTTTTTTTGCATTGGTCATTAAAATTAGGTCAGAGCGGATCGGAACACAAAGGCGAAATCCTTGAAGAAATAAAGCCGCGATGACAACAACAAACTAGTTTAGTTTGCCTTTGTTCTCTTTTGTCGTCTCTTTCTATCATTAGCATTCTTCTGGAAGGGTCTTTCTACAAAGGAGAATAAGGGGTCAAAAGAAAACCAAACAATGAAGTAATTAATGATCATTAGATGATCTCTTCTACTACTATTCTTCTTGATTTTTTAAAAGTTATACCTTGATAGGTCCTCTGAGATTAAAATTATTTCTTCCAGTGTATGTATCTTTCGATCCTTTTAGCTAGAACAACAAACAACACACACACATGCTCACACATACTCACATATGGTCGATCCTATTACGCAATGGCTGCCGGATCTGCCTACCTGACTGACTTAATTATTATATCAGATCCCTACCCTACTTCTGGTCCTCTTTCTTCCTCTTGTTCTTCTTTGTATAACGTGGCAGGTCAAAAGGAGAAAAGAAACTGCGCAGTCTAAAAATTGGACCTTGACTTTGCACCACAGAACCTGAAATAATAGAATTTCCGATCCAGATCCTGAAAGTCCTATAAGAACTTCTCCCCTGGATCCCCATCCCTTCCTTCTTGTTTTTTTTCCATTCCACACGTGCCCTTGTTTTGTCGTTTCTACCGCTTCTTCTTGTTCGCTTTTTTTTTGCCATTTTTTGCAACACGCGCAGCGGGAATTTTTATATAAAATGGAAATAAGGATAAGGAGGGTATGATAGAGGGAGAGAGATGAGAGTAAAAACAGGGATACGGATACATAAAAGCTGTTGAGGACAACAATAAAAGGATCAGCATAAAAAATAAGCTTTTATGGTTGTTTTTGCAAGTCCTATGACTAACCTTTATAAAGAAAACATTTACTGTAAGGATACATGAATTTCATCTTTAATAAAATAAGATCTACAGGATATTTCCCTTAGATTACTAAAGAAAAGCAAAAGTTTGCGTCGAAGTTCGCCAAACCCTGACAACCCTGTTTTTTTGCCGGCTTTTTCGCACAAACACCGGACGTCGAGCATGTTGGAGGGGAAGTTCGAGGCGAGCAGCGAACAGCGTTTGAACCGCAACGAAAGTGAATTTTTGTGCGATAACAGAAACGCCGCAAGACAGGCGCTGTTTTTCCAGCATCCACCCCCATTTCTCAACCCCAAAAATCAGCGAATTTTCCGCCAAATGAAAAGCCAGAATCAAACGGTGGTGGTGGAAAGTGAAAAGCAGCCAACCACCACCCACCAACCCCAAAAAAAAAGACAACGGTAGAGCTGCGGTGGAAACTCCAACTTCGCTGCCAATGCCAGCAGAGCTCTGCCGCCGTAGCGGTCGACGCCGACGCATGTTCGATCGAACCATTTCAGTCCAACGCGAACTCTTCTTCTTCAGCAACTCTCGCTCTGCTGACGTCGACGCGACGCTTCAATCTTCTTCTTTCAAATACGATACGATACGAACTCGCTCGAACATCGAACACGTTCCCGACGTTGTGTTTTCATGCTCTCTCTCTCTGTCGAGGGGGAGGGGGGTGGACCGCTGAAAAGCGTTCGCAGCAGCGGTTCGCGTCCGGACTCCGGAGGTGTCTCACACATTCGTGTGTCTCATTTCGAATTCCGCTTTTGATCTGTTCGGTTGTGCCACTGCGTGCGGCGTTGTTGTGTGAAAAAGCCTAATCAGAACAGTTGAAATAAGTAAAAGTAACTATCACTTTTTCTCCCTTAAGAAAATCAACAAAAATAAAATTTGTATCCTAATCCTTTTTTGGAAAAAAGAATTCGAATTCGTCGGCCGGCAAAATAATAAGAATAACGGTAAAAACGAGCGACAAAAACAACGCAGAGAAAAGCAAAATGTGAAGAATTGCCGAGCATGGCGCCGCGTGTGTAGAAAGACGAAGTAGAGGGGAGTAGAGCAAGGGAGGAGCAAAGATAAACAATAGAAAAAAATACAATTTTGATACTTAAAAGTTCTAACATAAAAAAAAAATCTACAATAATTAAAAAAAAACTCAGCTCAGGTACAAAAAAATTTAAAAAAAAATAGACTGCAAAAAACGGGAATTTTTTTAAAAAGTATTTTTGATACCCACTAAGGTGTACCAATTTTTTAAACTAAAAAAAAGCAATAACAGGAAAAGCAATTTACAACAAAAACAAAAAAACAATTTACAAAAAAATAAACTTTTCGAAAATATTAAACATTTTATAAAAATCGAATCAAGATTAAAATAAACCATAATTTTCACATAAAAACGAATAATTAAATATTTTATAACTGTGTCCAAAATGCTAATCCGAAATAGCATCTGAACTTGCCCCTGAGATACATAAAGTTGAGATACAAAACTTCAGAAATAAAAATCCAATTTATGGCTCCTCGTCGCAACAATAATATCAGCAGCAGCAGCGGAAACTCCACACAGCAGCAGCAGCACCTCCCCTCCCAGCAGCAGCAGCAGCAACAGTTGCAACAACACTTGCAACAGCAACAACAGTACTTTTCCACCGTTCTAATGGCGCCCATGCAGGGCAGTGCGGGTGGGGGTGGCGGTGGAGGTGTGGTACGTTGCTGCCTGCCCAGCGGTGATTGTCGGAAGATCGACTCGCTGATCCACCTGACGGAGATGTCCTTGGCGGAGTGTGTGCGAGTGCTGTGCAACAACGAGAACTGCACTGCGGGGCAGTATATGCATCGGGAGTGCTTCGAGGTGTGGGAGGCGGGTGTCCTGCAGACGCTGAAGGCCAGCGGCAGGGCCCGGTCCTGGTCGGAGCGGCAGCGTGCCCTCCATCTGTGGACCAAGAAGGGGTACGAGCTGGTGCACAAGGCCTGCAGTTGCAAGTGCGGACGCGGGCAGCTGCGCAAGGACCTCGAGTGGGTGGCACCACCACCCGCCACAAATGGGGGCATGGTCTACCTGAACGGCGGCAGTAGGGGCATGAATGGCAACATCAGCGAGGATGACGACAAAAAGAAGGCCAAGAAGAAGAGGAACCGCAACAACAACAACAACAATTCCAACAACAACCAGGGATCCCAGAACTCGCAGAAGACTCCACTGAGCAATAATAACGGTAATACCTATGGCAACGGAATCGGAGGACTCACGCCGAATCCCAATGTGGGTGTTATAGGATCAGGACTCCCTCACAACAATAACAACAACAGCAACACTGGCAACACCACGAATGGCTCCTCGGTGGAGATCCTGCAGCCCAGCGTGGTGGCCACCTTGAGCAACATCCTCAATCCCAACAATGTCCTGGGCCTAGATCTTCGTGCCCGTGCCGGCAGTCTCTCCTCCAGCGGTGCCGGCAGTGGCTCCACTTCCCCATCGGCCTCCCAGTCGAGCGGTGAGATCTCAGTATCGCCGGTGCAGCAACTGTTGCAACAACAACAGCAGCAGCAGCAACAATCCCTGCTCATGCAGCCTCTGGGTCCTGGCTTTGGTGGCAATCTGATGCAGAATGGATTGGGACTCTCCAAGAACCTACTGATCGCCCCGCTGCCACCCACTCTGCCCGCTATGGCCAACGTCAGCAACTTTAAGCCACTGGCCAGCTACGAGCAGCAGCAACTCGTCCAGCAGCAGAAGAACAAGGAGGTCGAACTCTATTCCGAGCGAGTCCGGTAAGTCTACACAATTCTACATACAAAATTAATTCAAAATTCTCTCACTTTTTTAAGCAAATTTTAATTTTAATCTTAAGCAAAAATTGAAACAAAATAAAAGTTTTCTTTATTTGAAACACAAAAAAGTCGATTTGAATGCGAAATTCCCCAACATGTGGTCGGTCGGGGCACATCAACAATTCCAATATTTATTCACGAAACTTTTATCAATTACACTAACCAACAATAAAGACAAAGTTTAAGGGGGGAATGGCAAGGAAATGGGATTTTAAGTTTGAGTGAGGTTTAAAAAAAAATTATTAGAGGACTTTTTTGGAAGGGTTTCTAAACTGTGTAGCTTTTTTCCCGCAACTCATGTTTTTAAGGTCCGATCTCTTTATAACTGAAGATCTACTCCAACGATTATTCTGAATTTTTAGACTCTATTTCTTATGATAATTTAAGAGATAATTCTGGAGTAGTTTTATTTAAATTTTGAATATTTTTGAAAATTGAAATCAGAAATTAATAACTTTAAAGTTTAAAGTTTAAAGTTGAAACTTAATAAAATATCAGAAATATCAGTTTTTTCCCAAAAATAGTGTTATATTTCATGATTTTTTCTAAATAGGTTTCTTTTTTTTTTAAGATTTTTTAGATTGATTATAATAAGTATGGTTTCATATTTTATTACAAACAACTTCTTATAGATATATCCATAATTATTATCTAAAAATTCCTTTCTATGTTGCCTAGTGCTATCAACAATTGTAGCTTTTGTTTGCCGGCTCCATCGCTTATATAACCTTGATGATTCCTTTGACTAATTCGCTGGCTGAACAGCTGCAAAATCCACACAAAAGTCGTCTTGTGGAATAAATATTAAATAAATAATATTGTTTATTTTGAAAAACATTTCCAAAATAAAGTGCAGTTGAGGAAGTTTCCTTAATGGAGACAAGCTGTCTCATCAGGTCCCCCTCTCTCTCTCTCTGGCTCTCTTTTTGGATCTTTAGCTTTTATATTTTTTTTGTGTTGATGTGTGTTGTTATTTCCTTTTTCGTTTAGCGAGTTTCACTTTTATCGATGCTTGTTCTTGTGCTTTTTATTTTGTTTTTGTTGCTTTTGCTTTGGGTCAAGGCTTGTCTCTTCTGAAGATTACTACTCTGGCTCTCCTCTTGCTTTTCTTCAAAAAAAAAAAGAAACAGCCTGCATAAATCATAAGAAATGGAAATTATTGAAATTTATTTGCTGCCATATGGAATTCGTACACACACATGTGTTTGTTTGGTTTTCTGGCTGCCATTTATTTATTTTATGTCCAATTTTAATATTTCCGTTTCCAAGCGGCGCTAAAAAAAATATTATTTATTTCGTAGCGATAAAAAAAAAAATAAAAACAGAATGAAAACCAGAAAGAGTGGAGATGTAGAAAACAGGAAAAAGAATTAGATCGTTTTTTTTTGTGTTGTTTTGGAAACGATCTTCAGGTTTGAGAATCCCAACCCCCTCTCTCCATCTCGCTCTACTTTGTTTTGCCTTCTATGGCATAATTCCATTCATTCTTCTGGTCTTTTTTTTTTTTCTTCTCTCTCTCTCTGGTATCTCTCGGGCTTTTATTTGTGTTTTTGCCCACCTTTCAAGGCCACGATATTTGCGTTATTTTTGTTGTTCTCTTTTGATCGCCTAGTCCCCCATGTAGACTCTCTTCGCCTGCAATTCTCCCCATTTTGGGCTTGCATTCTTCTTCCCCGCTTATCAGCATTTTTGTGATGATTTGTGTTTAATTCAAAAATAAACTTCCATAAAATTGTTTATCGCCTTTCGGTTTCTTTTCGGTTCTTTTTTTTTTTTTTTTTTTGTTTGTATTGATGTTTATTTTTAGCGCCACACGCGGCCCATTTTTATTTTATTTAATTTTTGCTTAGTACTTTTTATTGTTATTGTACGATAAACAAACTTTGCTGATTTAAACTGGAAACAATTTCTTGTATTCTTGTATGTATTTTCCCTTTAAATTTTCACTCTCTGTTTAATGAATGAATGTTCTTGCTCTCTCTCTCCCTCTCCCTCTCTCTTGGGTTTTTTTCACCTCCCTCTTTTTAACTTGTTTTGTCTGCCGGCATATTTGTATTTTCTTTTTTTTTTCCTGTTTTGGCGCCCAATGTCAAGGTTAAGACACATTTTATGTATTCATTTTCGGTGGGTGGCTTGAGGCGGAAGTTTGTTTTGTTTTTCATGACTTTTCCAAAGAAACTTTTTTGTGCAGAAAGCTCTTCCTGTTTGGCCGTCTCTCCTGCACATCATTTTCTAATCCGAGATAGGCCTGAAACTCTCACGTGGGTGTAATGCCTCCCCTTCCCACCCACTTATGGCGCAATACTTTCCCGAACGTTCGGAAATATTGTGCGCGCGACCCAACTGCAAATAAATTGCGAAAGGCACGCCGAGAATAGATTCGAGAAATGCAACTAAAAGCTATAGAAACTATAGTAACAAAACAGTCGAGAGTGAGAACCCAACGGGGGTCTAAAGGGTGTGACTATCGAGGAATTTATCGTATTACTAGGGTAACTAAGGGGTAGTTAGGAACTTAGGAATTATTAAAATATGAAAAAACTGATTTTTGACCAAAGTTTGTACTCTAAATTGGAACTACTTTTTAGAATATATTAATATGATAGTACTATATTGCAAGAAATAAAATTATATCTTTGAGGAATTTAAGAATCTCATATAATTTGGAGCCTAGGTGGGTAGTTAGAAGCTTTAACATGGTGAAATATGAAAAATAAAATTTATTTTCAAGAGAAGTTCGAACCCTTTACCATAATATAGTATTATATTGAAACAAATCCTATACCATATCTAGAGGTACAACCCTAGTCTATTTCAAAATATTTTCATAATTTTTTGTTTTTAGATCGCTAGACACACAGACACTTATGGCATAACCCCCCAACCCCCTCAGAAAATGCGATTATATGGTGTGAAAAAAAACAAAAACAAAAATTAACAACTTTCGCACGACTGAAAAGCAGGGAATAGCTAGAAACAGTGACAGGCCAGGTTAGAATGGGAGGTGAAGATATCCATATCGGTGCATAGTTTATCTCAGCGCCTGGGGAGAGCTTCTCTAACAAATATGAGTAAATTACAGTCGTGAGGCATAGCAAAATTTCATTTAAATGTTGTTTTCGTTTTGTGGTTTTGTTTACTTGTTTAGCTCATTCCATATATAATATGGTGTATGAATACCCCGCCAGAATGCCACCCCGCAGATTTTTGCGCTAATTGAGCACGTTCCAAAAACTGTCGTCTAGACTTGAAGCATAAATTTCTGCACTGTAAAATTTTTATTAACGCGGAACCCATTACATCCATGACGATGTTGACGTTATAGCATATAGCCAGTTGTTTATGCGTACTGGGATATTGGTATAGGTTCTGTATGGAGATACGGAGATCAGTATAAGTTTTAAGCTATTTAAGCTTATAACTATTTCAAATACCCGTTCTGAGGTTAGGTTTCACTTTTCGCTCGGCTGGAAAAACAAACAAAATGAAAATAAAAATAAAAACAAAAGACAAATGTTGAAGGGGCAGCGGAGCATGAAATGAAATGGTGCGACTTGGATCTGGATGGCTATATGCATATATTATGGATTTTTCACTAAGAAAAATGGTCATATCTTAAAGTTACTTTTAGTTTTTAAAGGATGTTATTAAATCTTCAAAATATTCTTGGAAATTCTCACTAAAAACTAAAGTTTTACTTGGAAATACTATTTTTTAAACCCTTTCTAGTTGCATATTTCTCAGTGTATTTCATATAGGGGCTATAAACCTTGGAGGGGGCTTGAAAAACAGCAATTAACAACCTTTTTTTCGGGCCACTCTCGGTCCAAATTGAGGAAACATTAAAAGCGCCACTTCTCCAACACTTTTTTGTTCTTTTCGGTAGCTTTGTCATGGATACGCTTTATAGGTTTTCCCTCACTATGGGGTTACCACTGTAGACTGGAAACCGCAACCAAATCTGCAAAACCATTTGCAAATTAAAGGAAAAAAGGGGGGGACTTTACCTTTTGTTGAATATCAAATCATGCTGTGCATGATGCTTACTCGATTTCAACTCAAATCCGTATCTCCCTCATAACCACAAGAGCTATTAATGAAATCTTGGCCAAAATGACACGCACAGTGGTGCAGTTTTCTAAACTATTTCGGATTATAACCCTATGATTTTTTTTATTTTAATTTTTTTTAACTATTGACTTTATATGTTTAGGTATTTGTTGTTTAAATCTCTCTAAAAATTCGTGTATCTTTTTTTTTAACCACTGTATCTGATGGATTGCTTTATACTGGGCTCTATATCGAACGGCGCATGTCTCTTTCCTCGGCGTCATTATTGTCGTATTTTCATTGCCAACAGACAATGCCAGGGTAACTCCTGCAACTCCATCTCCACTTCCTCAGGCACCTCCTACTGCAGTTACCACCCACATCCGACTCCACACACACATACGTAGATACATATAGTAGCCGAGCTCCATCCGCAGGCTTTTTGCCAACTTTAAAGGCTTCGTGGGCTCAGCAGTTTTAGTCTCTCCCTCTTCCTCTTATCAGCAGAAGTTGAAATACAGAGAGAAAAATAATTAAAATGTTTTTGAAGAATTATCAATTTATTTTATATCTATTTGTATTTTATTTAAAAATCTATTATTTTTATTTTTTTTTATTTTTTCATCATCAAAAACCACTTTCTTTTGAAAAGTATCTTTGAGATACTATTTTTCAAACTGCATCCTATCCCTTTCCACTGCTTGCGCGCACTGCTTCCTCCTTCAGCCAGCATGATGTCGTCTGTCGGTTCAAAAGCCAAGCTTTAGTATGAGTGTGAGAGAGTGTGTGCACTGTGTGTGTGTGTCTGTTTATCTGTCTGCCTCTCTCATGAGTGTGTGAGTGTGTTTGTGTGCTTTTAGGCTTTTGTGTCGAGCCATTCAGCCAAATGA